TTTTATTTTTTTAATAATTATTTTATTTTAGAACTTTTAGTATCATTATCCATCTTATCGGTTATTGGCCATAACTTAAAATAAAAATAATTATCTGTGATTGTTATAGTCCAGAGGTGTTTGTTTCCTTGCGTTGCTTGTCCAGTCCTGTGAAAGTGTGTGTAACTGTGATCCAGACTCTAAAATGTTGGCGGTCAGTGTGATGTATTTCAGCGAAGTGACACGCTTTCTGTGAAGTCACTGCTGTAAAACTCTTGGCCTGACTGGTGTGTTACAATTTCAAGTATAGAAATCAGATATTCACTTTTTTTAGTAATCACTTGAACTCCCAACACCTCATTTCCCAGCAAACTCTCAGGTTAAATCAGACGCTATGTGGGCTGCTGGGAAGAGAATTTATCAAATGGGAAACTTCATAACCCATCCATCACTGCCTCTGTTGACTCTTGGTTCACACTGCTTTCAGATGCTTTCTTTTTTCTTTTAAATAATTTCAAAGTACGTCAGAATTCGACACCATGAATGAGGATCAAACGGGAAGGAGCAGCTTTAAATCCAGATCTGTAAACTCTCAGGACTCACACATCTTCTGGTGTGACTAGAATAAATCCAGATATTTATTAGCTGAATAGCAGTAAAGCTGTTTTATAAAGAAGCTGTGAGTTGAGTCTTTCCTTAAACAAGGTTTTAAAGCTTTCACATGTTGATTTTTGCCAAGTAGGATGTTTTCCTCAGTTGAAATCTGTTGTTGATCCTTGAACAAGATTCCTGTCGAACTCAGACAGATGAAACTACCTATACAAACCAAAAAGCTGTTGAATGTGCAATCCAAATATCTGATTGAATATTGTTCTAGGATCTGTATAAGGAACATACATGAACACAACCTGGTTGGAAAATCAAGTGAGGTCACCAAGATCAACATCCTTGTGAGTACTGGATGAGCCAAACAGATTTATATCAGCTGGAGAAACTGATCAATAGACATTCCCATTCTGCATCAAATTCTGGGAAAATATGCTTGTGTAGGGATTGATGTGTTTTAGATGGACAGGTGTGACTCTCACAGATTCTGGACATTTGACTAGATTGATAGAGGAAATGTATTTTATGTATTTATTTATTTGTTTGTTTGTTTTTTACATTATGAAACTTTTATCTCATACCTTATTTTTACCTTATACCAATTTTGTTTTTGTACAGATATTTTTAACCTGCTGTATTTCACATTCTGAAACTTGTTTGTTTGTATTTATATTTTGATTAATTGTTTGGTTTTATATTTATTACAGACGTTGTATTTCGCATTCTTAAATTTTAGGTTTTAAGTCATTTTTTATTTATGTATTTTTTAGACATTTTATATTACATGCGGAAATGTTTTTTTCAGACTATGTATTTCACTTTCAGATAAACTTTAGTTTGTTCGTTTGTTCAGTCATTCAGATTTCAGCCATTGTATTTCACATACTCAAACTTGGTTTCTGGTTTCTTTATTTTTATTTATTTATTTCTATTTGAATTTATGCATTTGTTGAGATTTATCTATTTATTTCAAACATTGCATTGCATTTGACATGATAAATGCCAGTTGCTCGTTTGGACCATTTGTTGATTGAGAGTAAGTTAGTGCTCAGATTTCTAGATGAGTGTTTGTCAGTAGTTAAGTGTTAAGAGCAGCAGTTAGAGGAGATAGCACACATTCTCATGACTCATTGATCATCTATTGATCGGGGTGTTTGAGAGTATTTCAGTATTTGTGTTTTATAAGCGTCTTCTCTGCGTGAGGTTCATCTTTCATTGACAGCGCTCTCCTCAGGCCGTTCAGCACAGCTGGATTTGCTCTGAGCACAGATGGACTGACGGGAATCACAGCAGTAGTGTCTCTGATAATCATTAAATGAGGCTCTTGACACCTTCATGTAGTTCCTTGAACAATGTGAAGTCACTCCGGTTCCTCATTGTTCATCCTGTTTGGACAGCACAATTCATCAAAATTAACACAATCCTCTAAAATGATTTCTTTCTTATGCTGACTAACCCTGATTTTCCACTCTTTTTCAATTTATTTAGCATGTTTTATAAGATTTTTAGAGCATTGATCATGCTAATATATATATATTTTTGTGAATTCTAGGGTGCTGCACTGAAATACGTCCCAACTATCGTCAATGATCTGAAACTGGTCTTTGATCCGAAGGAGCTCAGGTGAGTTTATCAGACATTGTTTATATGTTTAGTGAATATCCTTATATATATTTTATTTGAATTAAGACTTTTATTAACTGTTGTTGTTAGTAGCATGTTTTAATTCTGCATGTTTGCACACAGCCAAAAGTAAATAATGAGTTTAAGGAAAAGTCAGTGTTTTGCAGCAGAGTTTATGGAGTGTTGTGAGCAACAAATTGAATTAAAAAATTGTATTTATTTTATTTTATTTTATTATTTTAATTGGTCTCATTCCATTATTTTATTTTAATTGTATTTAATTTTATTTTTATAAGCATATGAGTGGATGTCTATGATATTTGATATGAAACACAAAAATTCCCTTCTGAAATAAATCATTAAAATACATTAATAAACAAACAATCAAACGATATTGTTGCCCATCCTGCCTCATCTTTTTAAGCTGAATTTTTTATGTTATCCAGCTAATAATTGTGTTCAGTTTATTTTATTTTATTTTTAGTTTTAATTTTTACTTTATATTGTATTTTATGTTGTTTATTTTAGTTTATTTTTTTTACCAAAATGTCTTTATTTATTATTTATTTATTTGCCCAAGACAAATTTCCTTTCAGGGACAAATAAAGTGTATCCTTATCCTTATAAGATTTAAACACAAATTATTTTCTGAAATTAATAAAGTACAAATGATATTGTTACTCACCATGCCTCATATTTATTTAGCTGAAATTTGATTGTCATTTGGCCAGTAACTGTATCGACTTAGAATTACCCTTATTTTAATCTTGATTTTTTACTTTTTATTTATTTTATGTTGTTTTGTTTTGTTTTGTTTTGTTTTATCCTATTTTATTGTATCTTATTTTATTTTATCCCAATTATTGTTTTCCTTCGTTTTAAAACACAAAAATCCCTCTTCATGCAACAATCTTGTCTCTCATCCTGTCTTCTTCTCCTCATGTCTCCCTGTCCATCCCGTCTCACTCTCCTTATCTCTCTCTCTCTCTCTCTGTCCTCCTGTCATTTTTCTGTTTTCTTCATGCTGTCTCTCTCACAAACAAAAACCAATATAGTTATCCTCACCCTGTCTCTCTTTCCCCATGTCTCTCTCTGTTCATCCTGCTTCTTATTTCATCCTGTCTCTCTAGCTGCTGGTCCTCATCCCATCCGTCTCTCCTCATGGCTTTCGTCTGCTCCCGTGTGTCTGTCTCTCTCTAAGTGACTCCGAGAGGCTGCTAATGAAATCAGGTGTGAGTGATGGAGTTCTTCAGTCTGATGCTCCTCAAACACTAGATCCGATTGTCATTAGCATCTTTCTGCCCAATGGAGTTCGTATGTCATTACCGTTACCACATTGCTTTGCTGCTCAAGTATTTCTCACACGCTTTAGATTCAAAACACAATCAGTGCAAAGTGATCCCGTTGCCGTGGAGATGCGGCGGTCACTCGTCCATCCCGTCTGCTGGTCTGGATAATGCATTCCTCCCTGAGTGGCATTATAATGGAGCTACGTCGCTCTTGTGATGACTAATTTTACACACACACACACACACACACGGTGAGAGATGATGGCATGAATCCTGCTGCGTCTCAGGAGTTAAGCAGAGGATGGCCTTTCCTCACCAAACCAATTTTCCTAGACATGACATTTTCACAAGGTGTTTTGTAACAGCGGGATTCTTGTTAAGATTCCCTGAGTAATTTGTGTGCTTTGTGCAAGTGATGTTTCAGACTGAGAGCTGTTGAATGGAGTGTGCATGCATATAAAGTAGTTATCTGTGAACTAGTGGTCAGCAGCTGATGGTGGATTAGTTTAGTGCTGGTTGGCCTCAGATGTTCTGGAGAAACTCTTGAGCGTTGGGATCTATGTGTGTCCTGACTGAAGTGGCCTCTCGCTGTAATTCTGTTTGTGAAGCCTCGTTCTGTTCTGTTCTTCTCTTCTCTTCATCCCTTGTTCTTTAATCATGCTGGTTCTCTCTCAGTGTTGGAGAGTTTGCTGGGGTTAAGAGGATTTCATCTCCTCCTGTGTCTCTTCAGTCTCCTGTGATTCTCTTCTCTACCAGAGAGAAAACCTGGCCTTTCTCTTCTCTTTCTCTTTCCCTTTTCCTTATTTCTTTTTCTTCACTTTTTCATGACTCACCTTTTGCATTCTATTTATTTCCTGTGAGTCACTTTAGCCTTTTTTCTTTTCTTTTTGTCCTTTTTTTTCTTTTCCTTTTTGTCCTTTTTTTTTCTTTTCCTTTACCTTTGTTTTGTTTTCTTTTCATTTCCCTAATCTGGTTGGAAAATCAAGTGAGGTCACCAAGATCAACATCCTTGTGAGTACTGGATGAGCCAAACAGATTTATATCAGCTGGAGAAACTGATCAATAGACATTCCCATTCTGCATCAAATTCTGGGAAAATATGCTTGTGTAGGGATTGATGTGTTTTAGATGGACATTTTTCAGTTTCTTGGTTCACTTTTTCCCTTCCCTTGTTCTTTTCTTTTTTCATTTTACTTTAACCTTTTAATTTTGCTTTTTCCTGGCTTACTTTTCCTTGTTTTCTGTTTCCTTTTCCCTGTCCATTTTTTTCCTTTTGATTTTATTCTTTCTTTTTTCTCTTTTTTGTCTTTATTTTCCTTATTCCTGACTCACTTTTTACTTTCCCTTTTAATTTTCTTTTCCTTCTCCTTTACTTTCCTTTCCTTTATCTATTTTATTTCCCTTTTTCCTTGACTCACTTTATCCTTTCCCTTTTTCCTGTTCCTTTTCCCATTTCATTTTCTTTTCCACTTTAGTTTTCTTTTTCCCATTTTCCTTTCCTTTCCTTTTTTTCTTTCATTTTTCTTTTCTTGGCTTTTTTTACTTTGCTTTTTCGTTCCAGTTACATTTTTCCTCACCTCCTTACCTCCTTCGCCTTTCTCTTTCATTTGCTTACCTTCCTATTTATATTCCTGTGGTTGGGCACAACATGCAGCAAATAATCTATTTTTATTTATCATTTTCACAGTTTAGTATGCGGAGCCAAAAGTAAGGAAGTCATTGATTCACCCTGATTCTGTGACTCTATCACAACATGAATCTGTTTGTTGAGTGTCCCGAGTAATAGCATGAGTTTGGGACGGGACTTTTGTTTGAATGACCAATGATGGAAGGGCCAGTTCAGGAAAACTGCTTCAGGAAATATGTTTTGCACTTTTCACTATCACTGAGGACAGACAAATGACTGGAGGCCTGGTTAGCACACACCGTGTTAGCATTGCATAGTTTGCTCAGAGTTCATTGTCACAGAAGTGTGTTTGCTCAGCAGAGAGGTCGTGGGTCCCACACACACACACACATGCACAGACCAAACAAACGCTGAATGAGGCCATCTCTGAATTCTGTCATCGTCTGCCAGACCACTCTCATCCCGCTTTCTTCAAGTGCCAGTTCTTTCCAGAAAAAGATCCTCTGCTCTCCTGTTGTGCCCTGGGCTTGTGTGTGTGTGTGTGTGTGTCTGTGTGTTGAGATGAGGACAGAGAGGTATAGCCCACGACACTTAGCATGTTTTAGAAATGAGCTGTCACTTCAACAGCATATGAAGATGAGAAGAGAGGAACACATTCTCTCTCTCTCTCTCTCTCTCTCTCTCTCGCTCTTGCTCGCTCTCCCTCACTCACTCACTCACTCACCTGTTAGTGTTAACTAAGTTCTGGCTATGCGGTTAAAAGCAGCGCTGACTCTCTCTCTCTCTCTCTCTCTCTCTCTCTCTCTCTCTTTCTCCAGTAAGCTGTTCAGTGAGTTTATTCTCAAAGTTCCTCTGGGGCGTCTTGTGAAGCAGAAGTTGAACTGCATGATTGACATCGTCCACAGCGACCTGTTTACTCAGCATGGTACGTATAAACACACACACACACACACACACACACGTGTTCTCTCAAAAGGTCACTGTCTGACACCGGCTGCATGATGGTGTTTTCATGCTGTGAGCTGCGTGTGATGCTGTGATTGGTGCGTTTTGTGGAAATGCATCTCTTCTGATGTTATTGATGGATAAAATATGAGCCCTTATATTTACAGTGCAGTGATAGATGCTTTTTTTAACTTGACCTGCCCAATAGAAATAGGTATTTTATTTTGAAAAATTATTAGCACGTAACATTTTATTTTTATTTTTTGTATTTTTGAATCAATTAGATGCAACCCTGGAAAAGCATAAGAGACATAAAAAAAATCATGCTGACCACACTGTTATGCTTATGTCTAGAAATGTAATAAATAAATAAATGTTACGTGCTTGATGTTAAAGAAGGATGATACCGTAATGTTTAAGTGAGACAATTGTTACTGGGTGGGGAACAGATCAAATATGACACTGAAGAGTAGTACGTTTCAGAAAACTTTACTGGACGCATTGTGTGAAAGGGTACAAATAATTATGAAAAAAGAATATGAAATTTAGCACAAAAAAGGAGTGTCACCCAATTCAAAGAAATAAACAAAACAAAACAAAATCCTTATACCTAACCTTTAAACTAACTAACAAGGGGAAAAAAGGAATGAACATAAAACCGAAATCTTCTGTGTGTACGACGCTCCTAATTGAACTCCTCTTAACTAGAAACAGAAATACAAGGGTGGCGTAACACTCACAAACCTAATCTAACAATGTACGAGCTAATCTAATCAAGAAACAAAACAAATAGTATCATAACTACGTTTGACTAAATATTTGAATTATCACCAAAGACATGTTTGGTTAAGTAGCTCGATACATTCTTAACTTTGAACTTGACAGATAGTAAGACTAACTCTAACACGAACATCAGCGTAATCTTTCACATAGAATTCGATACAAGTCAATAGCCAAAGAATGAATCTATAACTAGATCAAATCACACAACACAAAGCATGACTCCGTAAGACAAGATGCATTAAGCATCGGGAGACAACTGGCGTCAAACACGAGACTGCTGACTTGGAGCATAAGGTACGCTGGCGTAGCGCACAAACACAAAATTAGCTCGAGGCCTCAAATACGAGAAGGGTATAACTGCAGCCCGGAGATCTCCAAATGGGGGCAGGAACTCCAAAACGGGGTGGGAGCTCCAAAATAGGGCGTGGCTTCCTCCCATTGACAGACAGGCACATGACACGCATGCGCAATTTTTTCCCCCAATCCACTTCAGTGCAAACTCCGCCCCACAGCTGATTCTAAAAATCTTATTGGTTGTGTCAATAAGTGTTGATTTCCTACACTATGCTATAAAAAATGCTAACCCCTAAACCTACCCCACACCGGACCAGTGAAATTGACTGCATGGCGGGATTGGCGGTGAATAGCGTGGTAAAGAAATTTGCAGTTCAGGAGATAAACAGTTAATAAGATTATATGATATGAGATCGTTCCGTAACTCCCCAACCGGAC